GAACTGGATCAGAGATGTATGTCCCCGCTGGTTCTGCTGGACCTCTCAGTGGCTTTTGATATTATCGACCACGGTATCCTCCTGACCTGTCTCTCTGGGATGGGACTTGGCAGCACTGTTTTACAGTGGCTCCGGTCCTTCCTGGAGCAGAGAACAGAGAAGGCGATGCTGGGGGATTCCTCTTCAACAACGCCCTGGACATTGGCTTGCAGAGTCCCTTAGGGCTGTTTTATCTCCTCGATTATTTAACAGCTACTTGAAACTGCTGGGAGAGATTATCTGGAGTTTTGGGGTTCAATGTCACTAGTATGTGGATAACACCCAGCTCTATCCTTGCACCTAAGTCTGAGGAAGCTGTTTTGGCTCCAAATCAGTGTTTGGCATCAGGAATGGACTAGATGAAGACAAATAAACTGACGCTTAACCCAGACAAGAAAGAGGTACTCTCGGTCAGTCAAAACGCAGATCAAGGAATAAGGATGCAATCTGTACTGGATGGGTTACACTTCCTCTGAAAATACAGGTGAGCCGCTTGCTCCTGGATTCATCTCTGACCCAAGATGCCCAGGTTATGCTGGTGGCCAGGAATGCATTTGCACAATTCAATCTAGTGCTCTAGCTGCACCTGTTTCTTGAGAGCTCTGATCTGGCCATGATGAGACATGCCTTAATTACATCCTGGCTGGATTTGTGGGCCAATCTGTCAAAAATGTCAGGAAACTTCAGTGGGTTCAAAACACAAAAGCCAGACTGCTGACTGGGGCGGGTTAAAGGGCTCACATAACCCCCGTTACAACACCTTCATTGGGTACCAATCTATTTCTGGGCATAATTCAAAATGCTGATTTTAACCCGTGAAGCCCTAAATGGCTTGGGCCCCAGCTACCTCAAAGATTGTGTCTCCCATTATTGAGTAGACCAGATAGGCGGGGTATAAATCAAATAAATCAAATGAATGAATGAATGAATGAATGAATGAATGAATGAATGAATGAATGAATGAATGAACGAACCTGCTCAGGTACTAGAGGTAGACCAGATAGGCGGGGTATAAATGAATGAATGAATGAATGAATGAATGAATGAATGAACGAACAAACGAACGAACCTGCTCAGGTACTAAGATCATCAGGGTAAGTCTTTCTCTTTGTCCCACCACCTTCCCACGTGTGTTTGATGGGGACACAAGAACGGGCCTTCTCTGTCACTGCTTCAAAACTTTGGAACTTCCTCCCACAGGAGGCCAGACTGGCCCCATCTTTGTTGTCCTTCCGCAAGCAAGTGAAGACCTTTCTTTTCAGGCAAGCTTTCCCTTAATGATTGGCTTCCTGATGATGGATTGTTAGATAAATTGTTATGCATCATTGCTTTTACTGTGTTTTTAGCATTGCTTGTGTCTCCCATTTTTAAGAGGGGTATTTTGTTTGTTCCTTTTACCCTAGGCCAGACTGGCCCCATCTTTGTTGTCCTTCCGCAAGCAAGTGAAGACCTTTCTTTTCAGGCAAGCTTTCCCTTAATGATTGGCTTCCTGATGATGGATTGTTAGATAAATTGTTATGCATCATTGCTTTTACTGTGTTTTTAGCATTGCTTGTGTCTCCCATTTTTAAGAGGGGTATTTTGTTTGTTCCTTTTACCCTTTCTATACTCATTGCTTTTACTGTGTTTTTAGCATTGCTAAGAGGGGTATTTGTTCCTTTTACTTCTATACTTGGTGTTTTCAGCTTAAAATATTACCTTTTAAAGAGGTATGCCAGCTTTGTATACTCATTCTTTTGTTCTTAAATATGGTCTTTAAATGCTGTAAGAGGGCAAAGGGCTGCCCATGAAGATATCCACCATTCTTCATCTACAGCAAGGCTTTTGGCATGCTGCCAAAGAAAGGTGGGGTAAAATATTATAAATAAATAAATAAAATTAGCAGTTTTCAGAGGAGGAACGAAACAAAGCTATTGTGGCACTTTTTGTTGGTGTAGTGGATAGAGTGATGGGCTAGGATTCAGGAAGCTGGGTTCGAATCTCAGCTCAGCCATGGAAACTCACTGGGGGTATAAGCGGTAAAGCCACTCCTTAAATCTTTCATTTAACCTGAAAGCCCTGTTAGAGCTGCTATGTGCTACTTGACAGCACATAGCAAAACAAAGTCTTCAAGATTAATCTTCAAGACTAACAAAGTTCTTACTTGCTTTTTGACAAAACATGTGGCTACTGATTACTGTAGACAAGAGAGGGCAATATCTCTCAGTCTGAGGTATTATCCATTTCAGAAACATTCTCTGGAGTTCTACTCCACTGGCTGATGATGCCAAAGATGAAATAGTAGAACGGGTGGTGGTGGGAGGGAATCCGTGCCACCAGCACATTTTAGCTGAAAAATATATTGCCAGTAACTAAGCCTTGGGAGAATCATTTCAGCCATTTAGAATATGAAGACGTATACATACAAAAACTGGGAAATTACCAAGTAGTTTTATCACAGGGTGGGGGAACTCGTTCTTCTGGAATATCCCAAGTGGCCAAAGGACTTGAGATCTTCCACCCATCCTGAAATCCATCTACCTCTTCCAACAGTAGCAACATCAAAGGGCAAATGGCTGCCCATGAAGATGTCCACCATTCTTCGTCTACAGCAAGGCTTTTGGCACGCTGCCAGTCTCCATATAAGCTATTAGGGGGTCCAAGAACTGAACCATGAGTGCAATGGGTGGGAAAAAAAAGCCCCCTAGAATTGTCTTCATTTACATTGGTTTCTGAGGCGGCTTCAAAAATAGGAAGATAGGAAGTTGTCTTATCCTGAGCTGCTACATCAAGTTATTAATTAAGAATAGCAATAGCTAACAGATTAAAAACACAGTTCTCTCACTATGCCAGTCACAGGGATAGGGGAATGTATCTTGTCAACCTGATCCTTCATGGGCACTCCAGGATTGTAGTGGATAGAGTGATGGGCTAGGATTCAGGAAGCTGGGTTCGAATCTCAGCTCAGCCATGGAAACTCACTGGGGGTATAAGCGGTAAAGCCACTCCTTAAATCTTTCATTTAACCTGAAAGCCCTGTTAGAGCTGCTATGTGCTACTTGACAGCACATAGCAAAACAAAGTCTTCAAGATTAATCTTCAAGACTAACAAAGTTCTTACTTGCTTTTTGACAAAACATGTGGCTACTGATTACTGTAGACAAGAGAGGGCAATATCTCTCAGTCTGAGGTATTATCCATTTCAGAAACATTCTCTGGAGTTCTACTCCACTGGCTGATGATGCCAAAGATGAAATAGTAGAACGGGTGGTGGTGGGAGGGAATCCGTGCCACCAGCACATTTTAGCTGAAAAATATATTGCCAGTAACTAAGCCTTGGGAGAATCATTTCAGCCATTTAGAATATGAAGACGTATACATACAAAAACTGGGAAATTACCAAGTAGTTTTATCACAGGGTGGGGGAACTCGTTCTTCTGGAATATCCCAAGTGGCCAAAGGACTTGAGATCTTCCACCCATCCTGAAATCCATCTACCTCTTCCAACAGTAGCAACATCAAAGGGCAAATGGCTGCCCATGAAGATGTCCACCATTCTTCGTCTACAGCAAGGCTTTTGGCACGCTGCCAGTCTCCATATAAGCTATTAGGGGGTCCAAGAACTGAACCATGAGTGCAATGGGTGGGAAAAAAAAGCCCCCTAGAATTGTCTTCATTTACATTGGTTTCTGAGGCGGCTTCAAAAATAGGAAGATAGGAAGTTGTCTTATCCTGAGCTGCTACATCAAGTTATTAATTAAGAATAGCAATAGCTAACAGATTAAAAACACAGTTCTCTCACTATGCCAATCACAGGGATAGGAGAATGTATCTTGTCAACCTGATCCCTCATGGGCACTCCAGGATTGAGACCTCCAGGAGAACTTGGACTTTTCCCTGGTGCTCAAGTTGCCTCCCTTGTTTGTAAAAAGCAGTGTGTTTTGCACATATCTTCTGTGAGGTAATCTCTGGGTGATGATTTCGTCCTTTTGGAGATGTTCCATAAGCATGATGGAAATCTCTGTTTTTATACATTGTGTAGGATTGAGACCTCCAGGAGAACTTGGACTTTTCCCTGGTGCTCAAGTTGCCTCCCTTGTTTGTAAAAAGCAGTGTGTTTTGCACATATCTTCTGTGAGGTAATCTCTGGGTGATGATTTCGTCCTTTTGGAGATGTTCCATAAGCATGATGAAAATCTCTGTTTTTACACATTGTGATTCTTAAACAAAACATTTATGACGCTGAACTTTGGCTTTCCCATGCGTACGCCATGTCGGCTTGTCTAGACAGCTGTGGGTTGAATCAGCTGCCTGCCAAGATAGCTTGTAGCCGGGAAAATGCCCCCTTGGAGTACTTCCTGAACACCATGTTTGGACAGTATAATGCATTTTGAATGCCAGCTTCCTGCATTTTATGTGTTCTATATTTCCCAATCAAACTCTATATATTATTTTTCCTACCATACATCCCTATTAAAAACCCATGTTTGACAACTGTTACTTTAGTTTTTGGTGTGAAACCTAGTGGTACCAGGTGCCAACTTTTCTGAAGCACTAAAGCAAAATTTGGCACTTCAGAAAACCCTGGTTTGATTCCAGGACTGTTACAGGTTTCCCTCTTCAGATCTGTCCAGAAATGGACAACCCTGCTTTAGCTTGTTTTCTCAATATATTCTGTATCTGAAGCACATCCCTAGTGACTCCAATATATTTCTTTCCATAAAATTTATATTTTGTTCTCTTTACAAGCAACTGAAAAGAGTGATTACCAGCTTCCTAGGCAATCATGGACAAACCTCATGAGATTTAGAGATGGAACAGTAACAGATGTTTTCAGGTATCTTGGTCTACATGCTGAGTTGTTTAAAGTAATTTGATGCTTCAACAAAGTACTATAGAACATGCTAGATTAACGGATATATTTGAATGCATTAATATGGTTGTATAACATATGTAACTCTGCCTGTTTATGAATTTCACAGATTATTGCTAAGAGAAGCTATAGTTGTGAAGGTTTAGAACTGACCAATATTCCAGAAGAACTGCCTTTCACGACCAAAGTCCTAGATTTCAGTTTTAACTCCCTACATTCCCTTCAACCTTCCACCTTAAGCAAGCTGAAGGACCTGGTATATTTAGATTTAACAAGGTACAATCTATTTTCACCCTCTCATTATTTATGTGGAATGAACTTTTTATTTTCATGTTTTGAAGTCAATGATATTTCTGGCTGCAGTGAATGGTTCTATGAGCCTCGAATCCTGACAATAGACAGTAAAACTGCCAGCTGTTCTAAACTTCTTTCAAGTAGCTGCACTGCAAATCAAGGTTAGGGCATGCTTTAATTTGTAGTAATGTGACATGCATAAGATGCATATGGTCAACGTGTTGGGGGACTACATTATCCTACACAAAAACCTTGGGGGGGGAGACACATTCTTGGGGGGGCACATTCTTCATTGCTATAGCTAAAAATACGAAAATCTGACAACTGCAGCAGCTCCATGATGTATCACAGTCACTGAAAAACGGTAGAACAGGGCACATCACAAGAAAGATGGTGACCAAAAGCAGGAAATCTTGCAATAGCTGACGAGACTCAGGGGCCTGCATGCTTGAAATTGCCTTTTCACAGTCTCTAAAGCTATATTCCAGGGACATTGTGGTGCTGTGGGCTAAACTGCAGAAGCCTCTGTGCTGCGAGGTCAGAAGACCAGCAGTTGTAATATTGAATCCACACGACTAAGTGAGCTCCCATCGCTTTGTCCCAGCTCCTCGTTAACCTAGTAGTTTGAAAGCATGTAAATGCGAGTAGATAAATAGGTACCACCTCAGTGGGAAGGTAAAATGACGTTCCCTAGTCACGCTGGCCACGTGACAATGGAAACTGTCTTCGGACAAGTGCTGGCTCTACAGCTTGAAAAACAGGATGAGCACTGCTCCCTAGAGTCGGACACGGCTGGACTAAAAAGGGGAAGGGGACCCTTTCCAGCTACCGTATTTGCCGGCGTATAAGATGACTTTTTTGGCCCACAAAACATGCCTCCAAATGGGGGGGGACGTCTTATATGCTGGGTGCACATCAATTGGGCCAGGAAGGAGTCACCGCCGCCGCCATTGAGTGAGTGACGTGGGGCCACGCTGGTCGGGGAGGAAGGCAGGCGAGCAGGCAGGCAATCGGTCCAGATGGATGGAGGGAAGCAGAGCCGGCCATGCCTGAGAGGCCAGAGCCTGCCACCAGACAGCCGCTTCCCCTCCTCCTCCTCCTCTGCTGCCGCTGCCCACCCAGCCACTTCCCCTCCTCCTTGCCCTCCTCGCTGCTGAGCCAGCTGCCCGCTCGCCCGCCCACCGCCGGATAGCCGCTTCCCCTCCTCCTCCTCGTCCTCCGCTGCCACCGCCTACCCGGCCACTTCCCCTCCTCCTCGCCCTCCTCGGGCCTCATCGCCGGCCATGAACTTCCAGGGCGGGCCCGGGCAGAGCCCCGGGCAGCCGCTGCTGGCGCCGCAACAGAGCCAACCACTCTATATTTTGAGTGGAAATGTTGGGGGGTCGTCTTATATGCCCAGTCATCTTATACGCCGGCAAATACGGTATATTACCAAATATTACCAGTGTAAGCCAGAACTGATCCTTGAAAAGGATACCTTGAAAACACAGTACCAAGCCATCTGTAGACTATGACCAATGAACATTACAAGAGTAGAAACTGACAGTGGCCCTCTTGAGCCAAACTTACTATGTTGCAGCAGAATCTTCTGGGAAGATTTCTGACATCCATGTGAACAGCATAGGCGGCAATGAAAGAAAGAACATAGCACTATGTTTCTGACCTCAGACTGCTTTTGACCTTGTTCTGTGAAACTGGCCACTTCTTGAGTCAGGACATAGCAAGACAAGCTGGTACTTCTCTAAAAGAATCAGAGTCATGCTCTGTCATTGTTAACTTTGTGTTTCCAGAATTTCCATTTTCTACAAACGTAGTCTGAAAACCAGGGTCTTAAATCAGAATCAAAGACAGTAAAAACCAGAAGCAAGATCCTAAACAGGGTTCACCAGCTTAGGAACTGGTTCAAGATAATGGAAACTAGGGCCAGGCCAGCTGATTTGCAGAAGCTGGAAGACACCTGATACTCCTCTAGCTACTAGGCTTTTAATAGACTGGTTCCCGTACTCAAACTAGGTCTCCCAGTATGCATGTATGTATGTATTTAAAATATGTTACCTCTACTTTCTCCTTAAAAAGGACCAAAGGTGGCTAACATCATTTAAAAATAGCATTTAAAGCTGAAAACACTAAGTATACAAATACTAAAAACAAACACTACACTAAAAATGGCAAACAAAAACAGCACAAAAACGCATTGAAAGCAGTAAGGCACAACAATCCATTTTAAAAACACCACTCAGGCAGCCAACCACTGAGAGAAAACTTTTCTGAGTATTTGCCTGCTTGAAGGACAACAGAGTGAAAGCAGTAAGGCACAACAATCCATTTTACAAACACCACTCAGGCAGCTAACCACTGAGAGAATTTTTTTCTGAAGAGAAAAGTATTTGCCTGCTTGAAGGACAACAGAGATGGGGCAAGCTTGACCTCCTGTGGGAGTTCCAAAATCTGGAAGCAGCAACAGAGAAGGCCCTCTCCAGTGTCCCCACCAAACTCATCTGTGAAGGTGGTGGGACCAAGAAAATGTCTTTCCTGGTGATCTCAAAACCCAAGCAGGCTCATAAAGAGAGACACAGTTCTTGAGATACCTTGGGCCCAAGCCGTTTAGGGCTTTATAGGTTAGAACCAGCACTTAGAATGGTGCCTGGAAACACATTGGCAGCAGAGGTTCGTGTGGTCTTAGTTCTACTTTGAATTGCATGGAGGACACATAAACCTTCCCTTTGTGATCTTTACACATTAACTGAAGTTCAGTAGCAAGTCACAGCTAGGGTAGGCCCACTGAATCAATAAAACATATGGAGGAATTGACTTACCAAATCCCTACTGATTCAATGGGCCCACTTTAGCTGTGCCTTACTAGTGAATTTCACACATTGCAACGCAGACTTCCTCCCTACACCTGACAGGAGTGGTCAATGTGTGGGGCTCCAGAGGTAGTTGAACTGTAACTCCCATCAACCCCAGGAAGTATCACCAATGGTAAAGCATTCTGGGAGAGTTCCATTTCAACAACCCTGGAGGGCCACGTTTTGTCCACCCCTGAACTGAAGCAACTTTCAAACACAGACTCAAATAGATATTTGTTGCTTGAGCGCAGCATTCTTATGTAACTCTGCGGTGCTCCACGCTGCGTATATAATTGGTAAATATTCACATTGATTAAAAATAGACATACCACTACGTGATGATGGTAACAGCCTGAAGACCGTTGACTGATTATTTAGACTGGGGCAAATGCAAGACCATAAATACTGGTTACCTTCTCAGCCTTACTCTTTGTCTTGCAAAATTTGTAAATTGTAAACAAAAGGAAGAACTCTATTTTGAATCCATCAACTATAATCATTATAAATGAGTATTTTTGTTTTGTTTTTCAAGGTGTCAGATTAATTGGGTATATGGAAGTGTCTTTGAAAACAACTCTTACCTGGAGACCATTGTTTTGACTGGAAATAATCTTATGTTCCTGGGAAACACAGCGTTTGCGGGACTTCAGTCGTTGAAATACCTTGACCTAACCCAGACAGGACTCTCTAGTTTAACATTTGTGCCAATGCTGGACTTGAATAACATGGAGACATTGATACTAGGAAACAACTACATCCAAACACTAGAACTCCCACCACATTTTCCAGCCAGAAGCCTAAAATACTTGGACCTGCAGATGAACCATATACAAACAATATCAGCTAAAGACGTAAAACAACTACAGCAATCCAGTAATCTGACTCTGATTCTTAAAGGCAATGATATTATGCATATTGACCCTGGGACTTTTCGTTCCATTTCTTTCCACAGTTTGGACTTCACCAGTTGTCCCAACGTCTCTGTGATTGTCAAAGGGTTGCAAAATGCTAAAATTGTTTTTCTTCAGCTTGGCACTTTTTTGGATATCCATGTTCTTTCCGTGAGCCCCAACATGTTGCAGGGCATCTTCAATATGTCTGTAGACCACCTCACTCTGCAGTATCGCACTTTCTTAAATCTCTCTAGTGAAACATTCAAGTGGCTGACCAAACTCCAAAGGCTAGACTTGACGAAAACCTCCCTCTCCATGCTACCGCTTGACCTTCCTCAAATGAATATGCTGAAGGAATTAAATCTGAACAAGAACAAATTTGTGCACATTTGTGATATCAGATCTTCTGTCTTCCCCAACCTCACCCATCTTTCCATCAGAGGAAATTCTCACAATCTGGATTTGGGTATTGGATGTTTGGAGTCCTTGTCTAAGCTGCAACATATTGACTTGAGCAGTAGTCTGATAGAAAGTTTTGACTGCTGTAGCAAGCAGCTCCATGGCCTGAGCAGTTTGCAACACCTCAACCTAAGCTACAACAGCAAAATTTTGTTCTGTGATATAGCCTTTAATGAATCTGCTAACCTCAAGATTCTAGATCTGTCCTTCACCCACATAACGACTACCAATGCTTCTCACGGACCCTTCCGCAATCTGCATCTTTTGCAGACCCTAAACCTATCCTTCTCTCACATTGATGTCAATATCCAGCATATCTTGCAAGGTCTAGAGAGTCTCAATGTCTTAAACCTGAATGGAAACAATTTTGAAACAGGGACCATCCTAAATAACAACCTCTTTCAGCAAGTACCCAATTTAGAGGTGTTAATTTTATCTTCCTGCAAATTGCCAGCTATACAAACCAAAGCATTTGCTGCCCTCAAGAAGCTAAAACATGTGGATCTGAGCCACAACAGTCTTATTGCATTCAACTCAGGTGCATTTTCCAATCTAAGGAACATTTATCTCAATTTTGCCAATAATAGGATCCATATTATCCCACGTGATATGCTGACTGGCCTATCTGGCCAGAGTGTAATCAATTTAAGTTACAATCCTCTACAATGCACCTGTTCCAATATTGGATTATTAACTTGGTACAAGCAAAACAAAGATAAAATTGAAGACTCTGAAGAGACAGTATGCACTGAGCCCAAGTCACTAGCAGGTACTAAGCTTGTCTCTGTAAATCTTTCTTGTGGGTACAGCACTGCAAAGATAATATTGATTAGCTTTGCTGTGATAACAATAATTACAGCGACCTTCACTTTGATCATATTATTTTTAATGAGAAAGAACCAACACAGTTAAGCTATTGAAGAAAGAAAAGTGCAGGAATATAACTTCAATAATTCTATCTTTAAGAAGAGCATGGATACAAGCATTATGTTAGTAGGTAGGAAGTTTATTCTCAGCAGCATCATAGGACGAAGCAGCTAATCTCATCACTACAACAGGAAGGTAAAAGACTATCAGTAACTTAACCCAAGGCAAATGTGAGAAATATTGCTTTCCACATTCCACAGATGTTATTTTATCACTCACCACTCCTTGCAGACTTGATTTCTTGTCGTATTGCAAAAAGAAGAAATCATAGTTTTATCCTAGAAATATAGAGCCAGAAGGGACCCCCAAGAGTTAATGAGTGCAACTCTCTGCTAAAGCAGGAAATCTACAGCTAAGGTATCTCTAATGGGTAGCCATATAACCTCTGCTTAAAAACTGCCCAGGAAGGACAGCCTACCATTTTCTGAGTCACCCCACTGCACTGTTGAACAACTCTAATTGTCAGGAGGTGAAATGTCCTTTCTTGTAATTTGAATCCATTACTTTGGGTATCATCCTCTGGAGCTACATAAAGCAAGCCTGCCCCATCTTCCATGTCACAGCCCTTCGGATATTTAAAGATGGCTACCTTATTGCTTTTTCCAGTAGCGATGTATAAAAGTGAGAGCTGGACCGTAAAGAAGGCTGACCGCCCAAGAATTGATGCTTTTGAATTGTGGTGCTGGAGGAGACTGCAAAGAGAACAAACCTATCTATTTTGAAGGAAATCAACCCCGAGTGCTCACTGGAAGGACAGATCCTGAAGTTGAGGCTCCAATACTTTGGCCATCTGATGAGAAGATAAGACACCCTGGAAAAGACCCTGTTGTTGGGAACGTGTGCACGTAAGAGGAGAAGGGGACGACAGAGGACGAGATGGTTGGACAGTGTCACTGAAGCTACCAACATGAATTTGACCCAAATCCGGGAGGCAGTGGAAGACAGGAGGGCCTGGCGTGCTCTGGTCCATGGGGTCACGAAGAGTCAGACATGGCTTAACGACTAAACAACAACAACCATATTGCTTCTCAGCTTTTTCTTCTCCAGGCTAAGCACCTCCAGCTCCCTCAACCATTCCTCTTAGAGCTTGGTTTCCAGATGTTCTGACCACATCCTGCTCTGGATATAATACAGCTTGTTGATGTACTTCTTAAAAATGTGTGTCTCTTGACTTGGGCGTCATGATTGAGAAACTAAATGGCAAGTACTAGTTTTCATGGTTTCATGTGCCTTCAGAAGACCAAAGAGGTAGAAATATTACAAACACTAATAAATGGCCAAAGTGAATGTGACATGAGGTAGCCCTAAGTATTTTATTCCTCTTATGTACCTATTCTCTGGAAAAAGCCTGAATAGCTAAATCTCTTTCTACATGAAGAGGCAAAAGAAATGAAATTCTACTGAGCTGATTTTGCCTACTCCCAGCTTATCAAAGCCTGGCTGGGAGGAAAGTGATGCTAGCAAACAGTAGAGTGAGGAAATAAGAACAAAGAGGACATTTTCCCTCACCTAATAAAACTGCCTCTTGTCACTGTGTTGTATATCCAAAACTGATTTTAAAATGTGTGATGTTTCATCATCTGGACCTATTGTTTGCTGTGTGGAACAGAGCTTGGAAATGTTAATTGTTAGCACTAATTAGTTAAGGTTAAAGAATGTAAGAAGTTGAACAAATTAACTGTTAAAACTTTACAGAAAATAATTATTTAGTTCATTGATTCATTTGTTCCTTAAATTTTTTAATTATGCAAGAAAAATCATTACAAATATTGAAAATTATATAAGCAGTGTTAGTTGTTACTCATGCCATTGTTCCCATTAAACAGTAGAAAGTCAGCAAAGTAATAAAAACTGTTGAGAACTTTAACAAATTAGGAGTGAATAATAAATAGATTTTAAAAATTTGCTAAACTTTTATTGTCTTTTATGTCTTAAGAAGTGGACTTGTCCAAATAAGCTCACATGAAAATACAGCAGTTAGTTTTTAAGGTTCTACAATGTTTTTGTCAACTTTTTAATGGTTGCTTCCAAGCTCTGGTATGCATATGTCTTGTTTTTACTTTCTCTTTGTGTCCAGATAATATTTGTAGAAGGAACCACCAAAACCAAACTTTCTCTGACTCTGTACATGTTTGATCAGCCAGCAGAAGCTATGCTTGGCCAGTGCCACAAGGTCCGTTATAAACTTCAGATGGGAATACGCGGGAAACAGAAATTTCACAACACCATCAACAGAACTTTTATTAACGTGTAACAACGGCGTATCTATCACAACTTCAGTGGGTTCAGGGAACTCCCACTGTTTAAACTTTTTCTCCAACTGTCTATAACAATTAACCATGTTTTTGTTCTTCAATATGGGGGAGCCGGCCCAAACCGTTCCCTGTTGGTAGCCTTCCTCAAGGGGAGCGCTCCGGACCACGCAGATGGTCCCGCAACACGGGTGGCGGGCCCAATCCCTTTCCAGTGGTGGTATATTTAGCAAATATGTTTTCAGACAGTTACAATGATCAGTACTGTGGCCTCTCCAGGCAATTCTCAATATGCATATCAGGCCGGAAAGCAAGCAAGCTTGCAGAAACGAAAATGGCTACCTCTTCTAAAACTACAACTTTTTAATGGTTGCTTCCAAGCTCTGGTATGCATATGTCTTGTTTTTACTTTCTCTTTGTGTCCAGATAATATTTGTAGAAGGAACCACCAAAACCAAACTTTCTCTGACTCTGTACATGTTTGATCAGCCAGCAGAAGCTATGCTTGGCCAGTGCCACAAGGTCCGTTATAAACTTCAGATGGGAATACGCGGGAAACAGAAATTTCACAACACCATCAACAGAACTTTTATTAACGTGTAACAACGGCGTATCTATCACAACTTCAGTGGGTTCAGGGAACTCCCACTGTTTAAACTTTTTCTCCAACTGTCTATAACAATTAACCATGTTTTTGTTCTTCAATATGGGGGAGCCGGCCCAAACCGTTCCCTGTCGGTAGCCTTCCTCAAGGGGAGCACTCCGGACCGTGCAGATGGTCCCGCAACATGGGTGGCGGGCCCAATCCCATTCCAGTGGTGGTCGGTTGAAAGAGGGATCCGGGCGTACCACCTTCCTCCAGCGACCCTGCCCTCTGGGGAACACCACCACGGTCCATTCTAAAGTCTCTTGGATGACTACTCCTTCCGGTGGAGATACTGGATCAGGTAGAAGCCCTCCTACCTTGAGGTTTGGGAAATTATTCATTCATTCATTCATTCATTCATTCATTCATTTATTATCCCACCTATCTAGTCAACTCAATCTGTGTGTTGTGCATAACTCCTCTTCCATTTATCAAGGAAGAGGCTAAAATCTATGCAGGGCACTAAAGGTACAGCTTTCTGACCACTTCAAAATCTTCATTCACACACGAGTACCACCCTTCTCTCCTGAATGTTCACCAGGCTTTGTCTACATATGACTATGCCTCTAAAGGCAATCTTAAGAGTTCGGTCCTTGCTTCTAAAAGTACAGAACTTGTGAATTTAGATATACCACACTCTGTACCACAACTAGTAAATATGGTTACATTAGGATTGTTTAGTTACATAAACCCCATTCTGAGAAAACAGTTAGCTCCTTGAACAATTAATTATCTTCCTGAATCCAGTGCAAAAACAGCAGAATTCATAGATAGGCCTGATGTCTATGTTCTTCAAGCAGAAATCACTCTGGATAATTATGTTATTCAAAAAATTAAGCAAATATACAGGAACATTTCTGCTTATCTGTCATAGTTAGTTCAGACAGTATGAGGCTATTGAGTGCCCCGCACCTCAGATCAACTGCTAGAAAACCTAAACCTAGCATTTCTTGTTTCCAGGAGTCTCAAATGAACTGCTTTCAGGTTTCCTTTTGCAACTGACAAAAGTTGAGGGAAGACGTGTGTAACAGTACTTAAGGAAACTTCAATCAGATGTGGACAACTGTCCATTTTCACACCCCTCTGAAGGTCTCGCCCAGTGAACTTGCCATGGTGGGGGATGTGGCATTAAAGAAAAGAGAGAGAGAAAGAGAAAGTATAAAATTCATCATTCTTGGTGCCTCTAATTTGACTGTTTGGTTTGCATATTTTGGGCTTTGTAATATGAAAAGGAAATACCCCCACCCATTTATTTATTTATTTATTTGTTTATTTATTTTATTTTATTTTATTTCTATTCCGCCTATCTGATCAAATTAGACCACTCTGCTTACCTTACAATAAATACAGCAATAAATTTTAAAAACTTTAAACTGTTATTTTTCCTATAAGATGCTACCACAGCCATCTCCCTGGAGCAATGTTTAGACAAGATTTAGCAAATTTCTCTAAACTTAGACCACTCTAGGCGGCTTACAATAAATACAGCAATAAATTTTAAAAACTTTAAACTGTTATTTTTCCTATAAGATGCTACCACAGCCATCTCCCTGGAGCAATGTTTAGACAAGATTTAGCAAATCCGATTTCTCTAAACCATAGTTAAGTTTAACCAGTTCTGACTTGGCACATAGCAGCAAACTGCATTTAGTTGAAAAAGAAAGTTCCCTATCTTCTTGATGCTGTATTGGAAAGGGGAGCAGTAAGATGGACTGCATGAGCAAAAGGCTCATATATATATAAAGAGGAACAATTGTTTAACACTCCATGTTTATAGAAGAGGAGATCTGCTTCTTTGTAAGAGCACATATATGAAATGGACCGACTCCTCAAAGGAAGCCATAGCCTTAAGTTTGCTGGAGCTGAGCACAGGGCATTTTGGAAGACACTCCTTCAAAGGGTCACTGTAAGTCAAGAGGCAAAATGATGGCATGTAAAAACAACAAAGAGTACTAATACAGATCTTTTCTTCAAAATTCCAGTGACAGAGCAAAACAAATTTCCTGATAGTGGCCATTTTAACTGATTTTATCCACATTGTTTGTATTCCACATTACATGACTTCTAAGAGACCGACAAAAAGATATCTAAGAAATTTTATCAGACTAGAGAAGTGGAAATTTCCATACAGTGTAGCCAAAACCACAGTTATCACCTGGCATCCATACACAATAACACATCTGGCAGCCTCTTATCAGTAATGTCATTTGGCAACATGTGTGGGTATAATGGGTATGTGGGACCACAGCAATGGCCCTCCCCTCACCATTTTTCAACACAAAAGGTCTGGGCTGTGTGTGTGCGAGTGAGAAAGATACACCTTGTCTGAATAGACTTCTACGTGTACTTCCTGGAAACCTGCATGCTCTGGGTTCCAGAATGAGGTGGTTGTGTGACTCGTCGTCGTTCTTTAGTTGTTTAGTCGTGTCCGACTCTTCATGACCCCATGGACCAGAGAACGCCAGGCCCTCCTATCTTCCA